CAGGGCCAGGACGGTGGGGAGACCCTCCTGCCCCTGCGACCGCCGCCTTCCCCACAGGCAATGCCAACGTCTGCACCCCGGAGCAGTATAAGGAGTGCGCTGACCCTGCGCTGGGTATGTACCGGAGGGCCCCTGTCCACCGCCACCCCGCATCCCGGGTCTAACCCTGGGGACCACCATCCCCTGACACCCCCAGCATCACCCCTGGGGTCCCTCGCCCCCTACCCTCTGCCAGGCTCCATCACTGTGAATGTGGCACCAGTGCCAGTGTCCCTGTGCCTGTCCTGGCCTGCTTAGACCTCAGACACGCTTGTCCCATGCCACTACCACCTGGGCTTTGGCCTCGGAGCAGCCCAACCCCACATGGGCGGGTGTCACGGCCACGCGGTCCTGGTGGTCCCCGTCCCACCCGCATCCCCCCCAGACTTCCTGGTGAAGAAGGACAGTGAGTACTGCGCCTGCCGCACACCCTGTGCCATGGTGCGCTATGGCAAAGAGCTCTCCATGGTGAAGATCCCCAGCAAGGCCTCCGCCAGGTACCTGGCCAAGAAGTTCAACAAGACGGAGCAGTACATCGCGTGAGTGCCACCACCGCTGCGCTGAACCACAGACCCAGCAGCATGTGGCACAGCATGGCCTGATGGTGTGATACGGCATGGCACAGCCACAGGGCATGCCCCAGCAGACATGAACTGGCATGGCATGGCATGATGGCATCATCGTCCCTGGAAGTGTTCATAAAACCATGTAGGTGAGGCCCTCAATGACACAGTTTAGTGGTGGTATTGGCAGTGCTGGGGTAACAGTTGGACTTGATGATCTTGAAGGTCTTTTCCAACCTAGTTAATTCTATGATTCTATGATGGTGTGATACAGTGCGGCATGGCCATGCAACATCCCCCAGCATAAGTGAACCGGCACAGCATCGCACAGCAAAGCATGGCATGGCATGGCATGGCACAGCATGGCACAGAACATCTTCGTGCCACCCCAGCTCTGGGCAGACTCCTCCTCCCTGTCCCACCATGGCACAGTGCAGTCCCCCAGCACCCCAGGCTGGGTGTGCTGCCTGATGGCACATCTGTCCATCCATCCCAGACCCGTCTGTCCCCCACCAGGGACAACGTGCTGGTGTTGGACATCTTCTTTGAGGCCCTGAACTACGAGATGATTGAGCAGAAGAAGGCGTACGAGGTGGCTGGGCTGCTAGGTGAGGGACTGGGGAGACTGGGGCAGGGGGGTGGGGATGTCCAGGGGGGCAGCCCCCCTCTAATGCCACCCCCCTGCCCAGGTGACATCGGGGGGCAGATGGGGCTCTTCATCGGTGCCAGCCTCCTCACCATCCTGGAGATCTTTGACTACCTGTATGA